CAACTTCCCAAAACCGCTGCAACTCCTGTACGCCAGGATCTACAGTAGATACAACCATGAAAACACCGGAACACTGAAGTCCAACGTCTCAGGGACATGAACAACTGTCTTGGTTCCCACAACGAAGTGAATCAGAAGATATTATTATAGGAGAGGAAAAAAGATTGCATTGTTGGCCGAGTGGTCGCAAATGCGACTGCCGGGCAAGGGGTCTCGGGTTCGATTCCCGGGTCGGGCAAAATAAAACTGGGATTTTTAAAAAATTCTCAGTTGTAGCACGGAGTTTGGAATTATGCCCGCTATCTGGTAATAGGCTCCTCCTCTATTACATAGGACTCATAACATAAATATTGAAAAGTGGGTGTTACATTGTACAGTGGCATTAAGTGCCGTAATGTGCACCTCTGCCTACCCCTTCGGGGATAAAAGTTGTGATGTCATGTTATGTTATATTATTTCATAGTTAGCGACTTCAAAGTAACCTTGATGATTTTCAGATTAAGATCTTGTTATTAGGATGTGCTAACATCCATAACTTCACGCCTGTCTCCCATGGGATTAGGCAGAGACTATGGAACGCCAATTACTACGATTCCTACATACCTCTTTCGCTTCATCAACAGTCATCAATCTTTTCATGCATGCTCGTTGGTTAAGGGTACTTTTAATTTGGCCCTTCTTTAATATATCGCCAATCTGGTCACTATATGTCCGTCTAGGGCGCCCTCTTCCGACGGCCCCATTCATATCCGCTCCGTATACTTCTTTCGTTACTCTACTTTCATCCTTTCTACATGTCCAAACCAGCGTAACATTCCCTTTTCAATCCTTGTCACTACATCATCTTTCAATCCACACTTTTCTCTAATAACACTACTTTTCACTCGATCACTCAATTTTAGTCCACACATACTTCTCAGGGCTCTCATTTCCACCGCATTAATCCTGCTTTCATGCTTCTTCTGCCACACCCATGCATGGATGTGCTAAATAAATAAAAATGCAAATTCACTTTACAATATTTTAATCAAACAATACATTTAGATACAAAATTCCTAAAGCTATTATTTACAACATTACTATCTAGTTTCGTATAAAAATAATAATAATAGACCACCTTTTTTCCATTTTTATAGTAAAAAAAAATAATAATTTCTATCAAAAATAGTTAGAGAAAGTCTTCGTAAGTTAAAGCTTCACTAAAAACTAATTAGGTATAGTTTGGTTGGAATAGTTCACTAAATAATCGACTAAATACACGAAAAATCGACTAAATAGTAAAAATATACATTAAAATTTAGTAATGATTAAATAGTTTTAAAAGTCGTGAAGGGATTTGTTATAATTCCTACTTTTACATCACATAAATTTGTTCATAGTCTTTTATAAAACCAAGTTATACCTTTATACATTAATCTCATAAAGAATTTCAATAAAATACACTTTGTTCGTTAATATTCATAAATAAATTGAAATAGTTACTTATATTTAAATTTCCAAGAGAAAGAATGAAATATAGAAAGAGAAATATAAATTATACTTGAGCCAAGATCGATGTGAGATGTTTATGAACGAACCACAAAGGTAAGACCACATCTATCCGGAAAAAATAGCACTTTTGTAAGCTTCTATAGTTTTGTCATTAATCAGGGTGCTTACTCTTGAAACCAATCTCAATGTCTCAATAATCATTCCATGTCAACACTATACAATCCCAATCGTAGCTGTTAAAATAGCATTCAGAGTACGGAATATAAAGCTAAACTCAATACCATTTAGTTCATTCAATATCCACGCAATACGGATGCAATGGGCGCTAGTGTTACAACTCAAGAGTACGATATTTCACAATACCAATGTCGATCGATCGAAATTGGATTCAAGAGTAAGCCCCCAGAACTGTCGGTAAATAGAGTGAAAGAGAGGGCGGTAGTATGACACGTAATTCTACAATTTTTACTTGTTTGCAAACATCTTACATCAATCTTGGCCTAAGTATAAGTACATACAATATTCACAATTATTATTTTAATTAATTGAGCACATTTCTTAGGAAGGAATGTCAATGTAATCATGGAATGTATCTAAATAATAATGTCGCATTTATACGGAGCATATTTCGTAATTTCAGTAATAAACTGTAAGTAGTTTTAGTTGACTTCAAAGAATGTATGTATTATGTTTGTGCGCCATGATCTCGCAGATTTTGATGCGGTTTTGAGAAAAAAGAAATTGTTGATTGTCATAAAATTTCACAATATTGCATTCACAGAAAAGTATTTGTTACACTTAGGAGAACATTTTAGTATATTAATTAGCTTCAACAAAATAGTGGCAGTGAATCGATTTTTTTAAACGCAGTGTTTGAAAGAATTATAAAGAAATAAAATAAAAATATTCAAATTTTATAAAAACCTAAATTAAATGTTCGTTTCATTACTTTGAAGACCATCTCTTTAATGTTTAGCAACATTTTTAGTAAATTTCTTTTACATAAACGAAGGTATTTAAAAGTATATTCATATATGAAAACATTCTACTTTTCTAGTACAATTTTAAAACAACAGTTTTTCATACAAATACGTAATCGCTCCGTATAAATGCAACTTCTAATTTGGCTTACACTCAAAAGCCCATATTCCAACCATTGTCTAAAACCGAAGCCCCCGGTCCTTTGAGCCTGTATTAAAAGAATATATTCAGATACAGGCATAATACCAATTAAATTGGCAAGTTAATTACGTATAATTAAGAGTTTAATCAAGGCAATGATTTGAAGTATTTTGGCCAATATTACGTACTAATTTTGTTTCTGTCTGTATTGTAGAAATTGGTAAAAATAAGATATTAATTTAGTATTAATAATTGGCATAATAATACAACGTTTTCAAAGTTACTTTTATTTAATTTTTGTAATAGAAGCAAACGTATTTTTAGTTATGAAACGATTGATAGTCGATTAGTCAATTATACATTTACATACATCACTAAACCCACGATGTGTCATATTACAACTGACAGATTAAAAAAGGTGGTTTTCGCGCGCTTACGTTTTGACACATGTGTAAAAATGTTAATAATGTTTTATTATTAACGATTGTGTGTTGTATGCCATAAATATTGAGTAAAACAATGACAATTTACTATAAATTACATTACAGACAGAAACAAAATACAAAAGTGAGCAAATATTCCATTAAAAGCTAAGACGTATCCGTTAAAATCCGGATTTCTTTACAATCAGTCGTCGACACAACCCTATTATAATTAAAAATAGCCTAAAACCACTAAATAGACTGGTACAAGTTACTTTTAAGTACTTCACAAATAAAATTTTCATATAGTAATGCCAAAAAGTAATAAATTGTATCGACAGGACGTAAAACGCCAGTGGCGCCCTCTAGTCAACGCAAAAACTATACTAGCAACTGTGAAATTATTTGTTTAAAATAATTTTTGTTATTAATCTGTTGTTTTTTCTATAAATTTATAGTTATTACCAAAATATTGATCTATACGTTTCAAAATATAGTTATTATTAGTCTTGTACCAAGTCATTTCGTGGTCAAACTGTCCCCCAGTGAGCATTTTTATATATTATTTTAAACCCTGATATTAAATATATAAACTGCAAACTTTGCTTTTGTCATTTACTTTTAAATTGCCACACTGAAAGCGTCAAAGATATTACAATAACTATGACCACGGTAAAGTCATTTTAAAACAAATTAAAGTTTCTATTTACCTACTTAATTTTTTAGATTAATATTTATTATTTCGTTTAGGATATCATATTATGAATGTCTTTACCATTCACGGGACCACAGGGTCCCGGTCATTTGGGAGGCGTACGAGGGGCCGAAGCCAACTGCGCAGAGGCCCTTTAGACAACTTTAATATAAATGTAATGGACACACAAACCGGCGACTATCCCTGTATGCACTATGGAAATGCACCCAAGGACAGTCCCCGGTTAGAGTAGGACTATTGTGAATAATGGAAAAAAAAGGTAGGGCTATGGATGGGTTGCGGTGGACTGGTAAATTGGGAACTATGGATGACTATGGCACCTGCCGAAACAATGTAATTTTTACACGTAAAATCATATTATGATATTATTATGATTGTGATACATTATTTTCACTGGTTATTTTACCTATGGATCACAAATAAAGGTTTCATTTCATTTCATTATTTACGACTAACTATTTTTTTGTGAAATCTCTATTTAAACATTATCTAAACGGACGAAAAAAAACGATGATTTCTTATTTTTTAAAGTTGCTGTGTAAGTATGTCATGAATGAAAATTGACATATCCTAGATCATGGTTTTTCAACCTGTGGTTCGCGACCCCCAGGGGGTCACGAAGCCTCTCCGACCGCAAAGCTTTTATAGTCGAGTTGCTAAAAGTTGGGAATAATCATTTATAATAGTTTTCTACATTTCAACGATTTCAATCCGTGCTTTTATTTGGGCCATTAACAAATAACGAATACACGTGTCGTGGTGGCCCGGAGCTTTAGACGGGTTCAAAACCTATCAACGGCAAGTACCAATGTGACTTTTTCCGAGTTATAATAAGATATTTAGACACCAATGACAAACGGTGAAGAAAAAATCGTGAGGAAACCTGGACTGTTTTTTTCTAATTATTAGTTTGAAATCGCCAACCCGCATTGAGCAAGCGTGGTGATTAATGCTCAAACCTTCTCCGTGTGAGAAGAGGCTTTGCTAAGCTGTTCTTATAGGGGCACTTATAGGCTGCTGATTAATGACAATGTCAAGTTGCATAAGTACGAGGTGGCAAATCATGGATGTAATATTAGTTACAAAAAAAATAACGGGTAGGTCGGGTCGCGACATATTTCTTTATACTAAAAGGGCTTTAGTACGAATAAGGTTGAAAATCCCTGTCCTAGATAATTCACCTTCTGACAAAAGCAAAGTACAAAACAGACTCATTACAGGGGGACAGTAGAAATATAATCTAAAACCCTCTATTCCTGGTTAAACCTATGTTCCGACATAATAAAACTATTGTCTGACCTTATTAACGATTCTCTTTCAGCTTCGCTAAAACTAGATCTTACGAAATCACTTCGTAAAACACTTTTAAACTCCTTACTGTCTGTTCTAACAAAACTTAACTCCTGGACTCTATCTCCACATTGGTTTAACGGGATATATGCTGATTCAGCTCGATGCGGCATCATTTTATGTGAGCCGCTGATGATCAGCGTGGAACTCCTTCTTATAGTCTGTCTCCCAATCTCCATGATTTCCAGAGAATTCTGGCCAATGACGAGGCTCTTGTAGGCTCTGATGAAGACGATAGCCAGGGTTAGGAAGCCGACTATGATCATGCCTGATGTTATGATGGGTGCGAAGACTGGTCCTATGGTGGTGGCGAGGTAGATCCATCGCCAGATTGGTGTTGAGAGCTCGTGGATGCCCTGGAATGAAGGTTTTGAAGGTTAGTCAAGTGATTAAATAAGTCAATTTAATTTGTTACCATAAGGCTCGTACACAAAATTGATGTGAATTCGCATCGCAAAAAATTATGATGCGAATTGCTGCGATGCGATTTCGTGCGACAAGGCGTCTCCCAGGGTGACCATTCCTTCGACGACCGTCAACTGTACTAAACGTATTTTAAATTGAAACCTAGGTCGTGACATGGATCGTAAAAAGAAGTGTGTACTTCTGTTATTGCTTAAGAGATACAGGAACAACAAAGATGATTTTGGGAAGATAAGATTTTGATGCGCGATGCATATCTATTCGCAAGTTCTTGCGATACTCAAAACTCAATACTTTACTTTATTGCTTTTCACATGTATTACTTAGGTGGTAAACATAAATAGGACACAATGTGGACCCTGTCGGGCACAACAACATAAGTTTTGGAGGGAGCACACTTGACATGTCATTCCTAGACTTAAAAATAATATAATTAACATACAAAAAAATTTATATCAAATGAAATACAAGATAAAGGTATAATTGAAATTTTAGTATAAGAGTCGAGTCATTTTTAAAATTTTAAACAATCAAAATTAAATACAAAATTCATAATCATAATAAAATAAAAAATTATAATCAAAATTAAATACAAAGTCAGAATCATAATAAAATAGTCATATTCAAAATTAAAATTAAAATAAAAACTGTCAAAATACAACCAAAAGAACAATCAATTTAAAAACAGTCAAAATATAAAGTTTAAACTGTCAAACACCAAGCGGTCACCGGTGACCGCGACCTATTGTTCTTTAATTGTGTCTATAAAACCGGTACTCGACGAGTTAAATAAAGTCCAAATTAAAAATATTATAGTTAAAATGTAATTACCCACTAACAGTTTTATTTGAAATATGCGTAGAGGGAGCTCGCACATTTTTGAGATGCGACGTCGCATTGCAGTTTTGTGTACGAGCCCTTAAAAGCTAAAGCTAGCTACCAAAAAAACAAGTAGAACTTATCCTATAAACAAGTAGGACCATACTTACTTCTTCAATCCACATGACAGGGAAAATGGTGTCGGGGAAGTTGTTGATATTGTTAATGGGGATGTTCGGGGCGCGATCCACCTTCAAGTTCAGCTGGACACGCACGAAACCTTCCACTGGTACTCCGATTTTCTGGAATAAACATGAAACATTGTAATGAGTCCTGTAGTTAGAATGTACTGGCAACTATATAAACTACTAGCGGCCCTCCCCGGCTTCGCACGGGTGCAATATGCATGCATTATACAAACCTTTCTTAAGAATCACTCTATCTATTAACCCGTCGAGCGTCTGCGTTCCTTATGCATTTCCTTATCCTTATGCATGCAAGAAAATGCATTTATTTGGCCATTGGCTCACGAAAACAAGGATCATTACAATAGAAATAAAACAAATACAGTGAAAATAAAAACAAAACAATAATATATTTTATAAAAGAGAAAGCAGCTTGGAGCATTTTTTCTTATGATCCACCGGGTGCTCATAAGGACGCTCGAGGGGTTAAAAAAAACCGCATCAAAATCCGTTGCGTAATTTTAAAGATCTAAGCATACATAGAGACAGACAGACGGCGAATAGCCACTTTGACTTATAGTATTTAGTGAAGACATGATATAATAGAGGTTGTTTTTAAATGGGGAAAACAAAAACTTCTCCCGTCTTGTGTGAGATGAGAGGGAGTATCAGATTCTTACTGACTAAACAACATCGGAGACGGGAATTATAATTTTATAATACCAATGTCCATCGATCGGTGTTGGATTCAAGAGTAAGACCCCTGGTGGTCCTGGGGTCATCGGTATAGAGCTTACGGACAAATGTAAGCGTATTTGCTACCGATCGTAGTTTTAAAATTATATTTAAGTGTGGGAGAGCCATGCTTCGGCACGAATGGACCGGCTCGACCGGAGTGATACCAAGGCTTCACAGAAAACCGACGTAAAGCAACGCTTGGGTTGTGTTTCGTCATGTGAGTGAGGTAACCGGAGGCCCAATTACCCTCCCCTTCCCCAATCTTCCCAACGATCCTCAAACTCCTAATCCCAAAAGGCCGGTAACGCACTTGTAACGCCTGTGGTGTTCCAGGTGTCCATGGGCGACGCCGATTGCTTACCATCAGGTGATCCGTCTGCTCGTTTATCGGCTTATGCCATAAAAAGATTTATTTTTAAATACTTACAGGTTGTATCATAAAATATGTTTCGTGCTTCTTCTTGTTCGGCTTCAGACCCTCGAAAGGCTCCAGCAGGGCTGGGTCAGCATCATAGAAATGTGGAAAGGATAGGTAAACTGGTGCATCTGTAATGGAAAGGAAAGAAAGATTAATTTTAATTATTGTATTTACCATAATGTCATGCATTTTAATCTGAAAGGTAGATATAGGTGCACTTAACAATGTGACACCCACTTTTCTCTGGTTATGTTATGTGTCCCATAATACTGGGCATAATTTCGGGATCTATCTAAAAAATACCGAACTAAATATCATGCCATTTTGGCCTAAAGGGGTAGGCAGAGGCGCACATTACGGCACTTAATGTCACTGTACAATGTCATGATAACACCCACTTTTCACTATTTATGTTATGAGTCTCATGTAATAGGTGTGAGCCTATTGCCATATACCGGGTACAATTCCAGACTCCGTGCTACCATTGAGATTTTTTTTTTTAAATAAGTATTACTTTGCCCGACCCGGGAATTAAACCCTAGACCCCTTGTTTGCAGACGCATCTGCGACTCGACCAACAAGACACACCGAAAAAACCGAAATACTCTGCTTGTATCAGGAATCGAACCCAAAACTGCTCATTCGGCACTCACATCAGCAAGCACTCGACCTTCACTAAATACACTTTAAAATCATAGATCATCATCAACAGCCTATAAATGCCCACTGCTGAGCAAAGCCTCTTCTCACACGGAGAAGGTTAGAGCATTAATCACCACGCTTGCTCAATGCGGGTTGGCGATTTCAAACTTATAATTAGAAATTATAAGTCCAGGTTTCCTCACGATGTTTTTCCTTCACCGTTTGTCAGTGGTGTCTAAATAATCTCAGAAAGTACATATAACTTGGAAAAAGTCACATCGGTACTTGCCGTTGGTAGGTTTCGAACCCGCATCCTAATGCATGAGAAGTGGGCGTCTTACACCTCCGAGCCACTACGACGTCGTAAAATCATAGATGGCGTTTTGAAATTAGATTTTTGAACTTACTGTATTGACAGGGACTAATATTCTGCAATCCTTTTGGCGGGCACTTCTCACCCGGGTAGTAACACTTGTTATCCGGATTCACATCAGCACTCTCAAATGTAGACGCTGGTGGAGTGTACAGACCAGCTTTGATGCCTGGAAAAAACAAAATACATTAGCTCATGATGATACCTAAGTACGTGTGTCGCCTGGACAGTCAACCTCGCTACATCCTTGTTGACTGGATATCTACACTACATGAGCTGCTGTTTACATGTGAACATTAGCTCATGACGAAACCTAAGTACGTGTGTCGCCTGGACAGTCAACCTCGCTACATCCTTGTTGACTGGACATCTACACTACATGAGCTGTTGTTTACATGTGAACATTAGCTCATGACGATACTAAGTACGTGTGTCGCCTGGACAGTCAACCTCGCTACATCCTTGTTGACTGGACATCTACACTACATGAGCTGCTGTTTACATGTGAACATTAGCTCATGACGATACTTAAGTACGTGTGTCACCTGGACAGTCAACCTCGCTACATCCTTGTTGACTGGACATCTACACTACATGAGCTGTTGTTTACATGTGAACATTAGCTCATGACGATACCTAAGTACGTGTGTCGCCTGGACAGTCAACCTCGCGACATCCTTGTTGACTGGACATCTACACTACATGAGCTGCTGTTTACATGTGAATATTAGCTCATGACGATACCTAAGTACGTGTGTCGCCTGGACAGTCAACCTCGCTACATCTTTGTTGACTGGCCATCTACACTACATGAGCTGCTGTTTACATGTGAACATTAGCTCATGACGATACCTAAGTACGTGTGTCGCCTGGACAGTCAACCTCGCTACATCCTTGTTGACTGGACATCTACACTACATGAGCTGCTGTTTACATGTGAACATTAGCTCATGACGATACCTAAGTACGTGTGTCGCCTGGACAGTCAACCTCGCTACATCCTTGTTGACTGGACATCTACACTACATGAGCTGCTGTTTACATGTGAACATTAGCTCATGACGATACCTAAGTACGTGTGTCGCCTGGACAGTCAACCTCGCTACATCCTTGTTGACTGGACATCTACACTACATGAGCTGCTGTTTACATGTGAACATTAGCTCATGACGATACCTAAGTACGTGTGTCGCCTGGACAGTCAACCTCGCTACATCCTTGTTGACTGGACATCTACACTACATGAGCTGCTGTTTACATGTGAACATTAGCCCATGACGATACCTAAGTACGTGTGTCGCCTGGACAGTCAACCTCGCTGCATCCTTGTTGACTGGACATCTACACTACATGAGCTGCTGTTTACATGTGAACATTAGCCCATGGCGATACCTAAGTACGTGTGTCGCCTGGACAGTCAACTTCGCTACATCCTTCTTGACTAGACATCTACACTACATGAGCTGCTGTTTACATGTGAACATTAGCCCATGACGATACCTATGTACGTGTGTCGCCTGGACGGTCAACCTCGCTGCATCCTTGTTGACTGGACATCTACACTACATGAGCTGTATACTTACCATCTTTGTATACATCTTTTCTGTATTGGAGTGGTAGAATTCTGCACAGATCTTTATCATACACGTGGACTATGTCAGATTTAGTGACTGCTCGTGGAGGGAAGAATGAACCTTCGGATGCACTGGAAATAAAGAAAGATATTGTTAGAAATGAACCATAATTATTGACCTGTGTGTTTGCTATAGAAATCAATCTCAATATCAATTCAATTTCAATGCAACAAAATCTCAATAATTATTCAATGTCAGAACTATACAACCCCTATCGTAGCTGTTAAAATAGCATTTAGAGTACGGAATATAAAGACAAACTCAATACCATTTAGTTCATTCAATATCTACGCATTTCGGATGCAATGAGCGCTAGTGTTAATCGATCGGAATCGGATTTATAAGGTCCTGTGAGAGTCAGTACTCACGGTACCAACAAAGTTATGTATAAATAATCTATCCCTTTGAACTATGTGCCAACTTTATGTCGTGGTGGCCCGGAGGCTTAAGACGCCCGCTTCTCATGCATGAAGGTGCGTCTTCGTAATCTACCAACGGCAAGTACTAAAGTGACTTTCTAACATTATCTAGACACCACTGACAAATTGGACAATTGTGTCAGCGTGGAGTTGTCATGCTCACTCAAAGGTCTCATTGGCGGTGGCGCGTGCAGTGGATCGTTCGATTCCCTACAATATGGTTGACTTAGGCGGTGCTGGTGCCCCCATTTCCGGCGGCTGGCGCCCAAACTGATGGGTGCGACGGGCGCGCTTTCAACGTTGCTTCCCAACTTGGGGGGCCCGAGCGCCGCCTGTAGGCGGCTGTATGTGGGAATCGTGCGATCCATGGCCCTGTACGGGGCCCCTGTGTGGGCATTAGACTTGACGGCCAACACTCTCGCTATTCTGAAAAAACCGCAGAGGGTGATGGCTGTCAGAGTCGTCCGCGGGTATCGCACGATTTCCTACGAGGCGGCTTGCGTCCTGGCCGGATCCCCGCCCTGGGACCTAGAGGCGAAAGTACTCGCGTCACTATACCGATGGCGCGAGGAAGAGCGGACACGGGGCTCGAGGCCGGTGCAGCGCCAAATCGAGCGGCGCCGAGAGGAGCTCCGTCAGGTCTTGGTGGCGGAATGGCGGCAAAGGCTTTTGCGCCCCACCGCCGGCCTCGCTACCGTCGAGGCGATCCGGCCAGTACTCGACGACTGGCTTGGGAGGAAGCACGGCTCCCTGTCGTTTAGAGTGACGCAGGTGCTGTCGGGGCACGGCTGCTTCGGCAAGTACCTGTGCCGCATAGAGAGGGAGCCGGACGCCCGGTGCCACCACTGCGTCCATTGCGGGGAGGACACGGCGCAACACACGCTCGCCGAGTGTGTAGCTTGGGAGGAGCAGCGCCGTGTCCTCAGAAATGAAGTAGGAAGCGATCTGTCGCTGCCGGCCGTAGTGCGGAAGATGGTGGACAGCGCAGAGTCGTGGGACGCGGTGGTGTCTTTCTGCGAGGATGTGATGTCGCAGAAGGAAACTGCGGAACGGGAGAGGGAGATCTTACTGACTTCCTTTCCCAACCGCAGAAGGCGCACCGGGCGTAGGAGAAGGGCCGACAACGCCCTCTTCCGGCCCCCATAAATGGGTCCAGGGGCGAAGGACTTGGGGAAGTCCTCGCCCCCGACTTCAAAGACCCGAGTCGAAGGCGCGCGCGGGTGTCGGCGTGCGCCTTTGAGGCGATGCACGTGGTGCACTGCTCCGTGCAGGTGACGGGGCCCTGACATACGGGCCGGCACTGTAATGCGGGGCTGCGGATGAATTTGGACTCCCGTGGCCCCGCACGCACGTGTGAGGAGACACTGGGGTGGTTTTAGCCGGTAAGAGTCCGGCACACCCCTCCGCCTTTCCCCAGGCGGAGGCAGTCCATGAGGATTTCCCCCCATAAAAAAAAAAAAAAAAAAAAAAGGCGGTGCTGGTGTACCTACGTGTCATGTTCGTGAACGGGCGCCGTCAACTGGGACTAGCCAGCTCCAGGCTGTATTATTTATTATCCTTCTCTTTCGATCTCTTTGACTGAATTTTAGTATTACATTGTTCCCACACAATCCAAACAACATAACTATGTAACTAGAGAATTGTATTGTGAACCGGATTGAAAAAGAAGAGTAACCTATGGAGTTTCTTGCTCGTTCTTCTCTATAGGAATCTACACCTTGGAATGAGCAAAAATCTTGCCTTTCTTGTCTTATTGTAATAAATGATTTCGACTTTGACTTTGGGTCTCCGGTAACCTCACTCACACAACGAAAAGCGTTGTTTCACATCGGTTTTAATGATGTTTTAACAACGACAAAATATCAAGGTCTTCTGTATCTGCAGCATTACAAGGCATTATGTTGTAAGGAACGCAGAATGGCATAATATAATATGATGTCATAACTATGTCATTAGATGTTTCGTATAGTAGTTGTTGCATTGGTTTTTTTTCTATAGAATAGGGTAGACGACTAATTCTTAATTTAGCTGTAGAATAAAATTAACATTTGACAGTTTTTAGTATGGAAGAATAGGGTAGATGCCTAATTTTTATTTCAATGTCCGTCTGGTAGATTATTTAAAAACATTAGATACGTATTTTTTATTTTCTTACGGAAACGAATACTTTCGACGATATATTGATTTGAAATGTCGCGTGACGTCACTTCTATGTACATTTTATACGTAGAAATGACGTTTTATCCCCCACTCCTAAACTTTTAGTCGTTTTATCTAAGTATTGTTGTATTATACGAGAAAATAAAAAATACGTGTCTAATATTCTTTCATTACTTAACTTACGGACTAATTATATTTTTATTTTCATACCCTGTCATCATCCCCATTATCTAATACATTTGACCAAGGAATTCTTGTACATACATGGTGGAATTTTATAATGCCATGTGAAGGGGAAGTACTCTTAATACTTTAGATAGAACATTTTACTCAAAGAAAACATTACGTTATTTTTGAAAAGAAACAAAACTGCATTCAAAGATTTTCAAAAACTCTCTTACCGTGTCGGTACCTAATCGAATCGACTAAAATCTATAAAAGTTGCATCTTTTCAGAAAATGTCGTTTTATCTGCGTTTTCTGTTAATAAAATTCTTAGGAAAATGTGAAACTAAATGTTGGCATGATGTATTGCGCTGCCGCCGCGCATGGACAGCCGAGACACTAGAGAGGCGTTACAAGTGCGTTACCGGGCTTTTGGGGATTAGCATTTTGAGGATTGTTAGGGATTGGAGAGGGGGTAATTTGGACCTCCGGTAACCTCGCTCACATTACGAAACACAACGCAAGCATTATGTCATGTCGGTCGTGTGATAGGGGGGATTTGGACCTCCGGTAATCTCACTCATACACATACATTTCCGTCGGTTTCCTGCTCGGCCGTGGTAGCACTCCGGTCGAGCCGGCCCATTTGTGCCGAAGCATGGCTTTCCGACAATTAAAATACAGATATTTCTAACTGCGGGTTGAATTTGCACAAAAAATTGCAATAGTGTTAAAAAACAGTATTCAAGGCTGATTATTATTACAAAAATTATGTAATAATATAAAACGGATATAACGGGTATAATGTTGTTATAATAATGCAAATAGCTATATCCTCTCAATTTCCGTAAATATCGCGAGGTCGTTGTCTTGTATAGTAATTTATTTTATTTTAATAAATAAGAAATATAAATAAAGAAAGACTGCCTCGTTGACTGAGTGGTCGCAATTGCGACTGCCGGGCAAAGGGTCTCGGGTTCGATTCTCGGGTCGGGCAAAGTATTACTAGGTTTTTTTTTAATTCTCAGTAGTAGCACGGAGTCTGGAAATGTGCCCGGTATATGGTAATAGGCTCACCCCTAATTACATGGGACTCATAACATAAATAGTGAAAAGTGGGTGTTACATTGTACAGCGGCATTAAGTGCCGTAATGTGCACCTCTGCTTACCCTGCCACAATTCCAGTATCCGTGCTACTACTATTTTTATAAAATTCACAGATTATGTATTTTGGGCGGTCGGGTATAAGACACCCGGGGGAAGAGCAGGGGCGGTGAAAATGTATTCTAATGTGTCGTCATCTCACGTCTTTGAAATAAACCATTAGCTAATCCAGTTATTATGATTGGTGTTATTGATCTGACGATTAAATCACCATGTTGTAACCTTAACCTTACTTATGTAATACCAGCTGTTACCCGCGACATCGTCCATGAATACCAATTTTAGAAAAAAACTTTTTTATCTATACTAATATTATAAAGCTTGTTTTTTTGTTTGTTTGTTTGAACGCGCTAATCTCCGAAACTACTGGTCCGATTTGAATAATTCTTTCTGTGTTGGATAGCCCATTTATCGAGAGAGGCTATATATAGGCTATAAAATATCACGCTACGATTAATAGACGCCGAGCAGAGCGAGAGAAACCGCGCGGAAGTAACTAGTGTTTCATATTTTTTAAATAAAAGTTGCCTATTACTTCTTAGTACATTAGTTACATGGACATAAAAGTCTTTCAAAATTAACTCGTCGAGTACCGGTTTTATAGACACAATTAAAGAACAATAGGTCGCGGTCACCGGTGACCGCTTGGTGTTTGACAGTTTAATTCAGCCATTCCAGAGATTTGCCAGTACAAACAGACAGACAGACAAACAAAAAATTATAACAAATGTTATTTTGGTATGTGTATCGTTTGTATATTAATATGCATATAGTCAAAAGCGGTTTTTTTTAATTGGCGCCCGCCACAACCTCCTAAAACCGCTGCAACTCCTGTGCACCAGGATTTACAGTAGATACAACCATGCAAACACCGGAACACTGAAGTCCAACGTCCCAGGGACATGAGTAACTGTCTTGGTTCTCGTAACGAAATAAATCAGAAGATATTATAAGAGGAGAAGAAAAAAGCGTCACTGCAGGGGTGCCGAACTGAAAACTTGGGTGCTCACTGTGCCCAGCTTTTAACTGTGTTGGCGACCCATTCGGCTTGGGCCAATATCGCGTAGAACCTATATTATACCTACCTATTTTTATTATCTTCAAGTTTTATAATTTAGCTTTTATCTTTTTATTTACACTCTCTTGTGTTATTTTTTTTTAGT